GCAGGACCTGGTTTGCCCAGCTCCTCTGTCACTGCTGCTGATCAGTGCACAGGTAGCGTGGGCACCCGGGGACCAGGAAGCACCAAGCAGACTTGGGTGCTGCAGGGCGGGTGGATGTGTCCCCAGAGGAGCCTGCAGTGGGCAGGGGGAGCACTGGGGCAAGAGCTCCAGGGAACACTGATGGCCACATATCCAGAGAGGGGCTCTGCCTGGGCAGGTGGAGACTCTAAATGTGTGTCAGGGTTCACAGCACTGTCTCATCATCATGGGGACGTGGAGCTGGTGGGATCACACCATGGCCTGGGTCCCTCTCCTCCTTGTGGTGCTTGCCCACACCTCAGGTGCCATGAGTGGACTCTCCGTGCCTGGATGGGGCCTTTGGGCACAGGGGTCCTGTCCCTCTGCCCAGGGAGGGCTGTGCTCCTGGGGCTTTGACTGACCCCTGTCTTTTCTTCTCTCTCCTCTCCCTTTTCAGGTTCCCTGGTCCAGGCAGCGCTGACTCAGTCGTCCTCATTGTCTCACAAGGTGGGAGACACCATCAAGATCACCTGCCCTGGCCTTAGCAGTAGCTGGCCTAATGCTGACTGGTACCAGCAGAAGGTCCCTGGCAGTGCCCCTGTCACTGTGATCTATGTTAATAGCAACAGACCCTCGGACATCCCTTCGGGATTCTCCGGATCCTTGTCCAGCTCCACGGGCACATTAACCATCACTGGGGTCCAAGCCGAGGACGAGGCTGTCTATTTCTGTGGTGGCTGGAACAACAGCGCTTATGCTGGTATTGTGACACAGAGAGATGTGGAAATGAGGTACAAAAGAGTTAAAAATGGAGGTTTTCTTTCCTTCTCATGGCCAAGCAGAGTGGTGAATGTGGGGCTAGTGTAGATTTTGGTTTCCTCTGTACAACCATGGCTGTGAATGTCCCCACTTTTGTTTCCTAGAACCCTGGAGCTCACTTTGTGTCTGTAGACCATCGTCCTGGTCTATGCAAAACTCACAGTGTGGCTTTGTCCCCCAACCCACTGCCTCTTATTACTGATGACCATATTGTCCCGCTGCTGCCTCTGTGGTGGGATACACTGGGCTGAGCTCTGCTCCTCAAATGTGCCAGTGACCTTGTCCTTGTCTGCCCTCTTCCCACTATTGCATTCACTATAACCTTCTCTGGGCAGGTCTGTCCTCCTGTGGCAGTGGCTGAGCCTCTCTTTTCTCTCCTCTCCTTTTCCAGGTTCCCTGGTCCAGGCAGCACCACTGAGTCAGCCGTCCTCATTGTCAGCCAAGGTGGGAGAAACCATCAAGATCACCTGCTCTGGGAGCAGCTACGGCTATTATGGCTGGTACCAGCAGAAGGTCCCTGGCAGTGCCCCTGTCACTGTGATCTACTGGGATGATGCGAGACATCCCTTCGCGATTCTCCGGATCCAAGTCCGACTCGACAGCCACATTAACCATCACTGGGGTCCAAGCCAAGGACGAGGCTGTCTATTTCTGTGGTAGCTGGGACAGCAGCAGTGATTCCACAGTCACATGGAGCAATGGCGAAATGATACTGAAATCTCCTGCCATTGCAGACCTCAGTCAGGAGTCTCTGCTGTTCCTATTTGATGGTGGGGCAGGTCCCCATAATGGCCCTGCCCTTGCTGCCCTGTGCTGAAAGTGGCTGTCCCTGATGTCCCAGGTTGGACACCCCTTAGAGCTCCAGGCCTATGCCCATCCCAAGGTTAGGAGCGGTGCCGGAGCAGTGCCTGCAGAGGGGTGTGCTGGGGGCAGTGTGTGCTCTGTGGGCAATGGGCTGGGCCAGCTGCAGGAGCAGAACCCTGCAGACAAGCCCCTGCCTGGGAAGGGGAGTGGCTGAAGGAGCTGTGCTGCTGCAGAGGTGCTTGGGGGTGGGTGAGGCCAGGGTCACAGGCAGGGAGGAGGTGGCTGCAGAGGGTGCATGGACAAGGTGGGGTAGAAAAGTGTTCCTGCCATCCCTTGACATGGATCTTGGCAAAGACTGAGGGGTCTTTGCCCAGATACCAGGACTGAGGGCGTTGTAGTCTTGTGGCTCCTGAGAGACACCCGCTTGTAGTGCCTTGGTGTGCAGCAGAATGTGTCTTTCCCAGCTGAGTGGCCTGGGAAGCAGGTGGCCTGGAGTGATTACGGTGCTGTTATCAGCCCTGTCTGTACACAGGAGTTCCTGGTGCAGCCAGGCCATGGTCCTACTGGGCAGGAACACGGACTGGGTGGTCCTTGGCTGAGCTCAGAGCTCAGCAGCTGAGTTGGGGAAGGAGCAGGCAGCCCAGAGTGATTGTGCTGCCTTTTGGTGGGCCAGAGGAGCCTGCAGTGGGCAGGTGAAGCACTGAGGCAAGAGCTCCAGGGAACACTGACGGCCACATATCCAGGGAGGGGCTGTGGCTGGGCAGGTGGGGGCTTAAAAGGAAGTCAGGGTCCACAACACAGCCCCATCATTGCAGGGACGTGGAGCTGGTGGGATCACACCATGGCCTGGGTCCCTCTCCTCCTCGCGGTGCTCGCCCACACCTCAGGTGCCAAGGCCAGACTTGCTGTGCCCCAATGGGGCCTTTAGGCACAGGGGTTCTGTCCCTCTGCCCAGGGAGGATTGTGCTCCTGGGGCTTTGACTGACCCCTGTCTTCTCTTCTCTCTCCTCTCCCTTTTCAGGTTCCC